CTCTCACAGACCTATAACTACTTCTTTAAGAGGCTCCTCTGCCCTCCACTTGTTACCTGTAGTAATGGCACCTGTTTGACCTTGTTATCAGTATAAAAGACACCTGTCCACAACCTCAAACAGTCACAGTCCACACTCCACTATGGCCAAGACCAAAGAAGGACACCGGAAACAAAATTGTAGACCTGCAGCAGGCTGGGAAGACTGAATCTGCAATAGGCAAGCAGCTTGGTGTGAAGAAATCAACTGTGGGAGCAATAATTAGAAAATGGAAGACATACAAGACCACTGATAATCTCCCTCGATCTGGGGCTCCACGCAAGATCTCACCCTGTGGGGTCAAAATGATCACAAGAACGGTGAGCAAAAATCCCAGAACCACACGGGGGGACCTAGTGAATGACCTGCAGAGAGCTGGGACCAAAGTAACAGGATGGAAACATCATGCTTTGGGGCTGTTTTTCTGCAAAGGGACCAGGACGACTGATCCGTGTAAAGGAAAGAATGAATGGGGCCATGTATCGATATATAACAAAGTATTGAGATGAACTTTTGATATTGACCAAATACTTATTTTCCACCATGATTTGCAAATAAATTCTTTAAAAATCAGACAATGTGATTTTCTGGATTTTTTTTCTCATTTTGTCTCTCATAGTTGAGGTATACCTATGATGAAAATTACAGGCCTCTCTCATCTTTTTAAGTAGGAGAACTTGCACAATTGGTGGCTGACTAAATACTTTTTTGCCCCACTGTATATGGTAATCGTGTATGCTGTATGTTTCCGCTCTTCTCTAAATTTCAGTGGGTGACATTCTGCATTCATTTTTCTGCTGTTTGATACAAATAAAATGTAAAAACAGTGTTTAAATAGAAGCCTGTGGATATAGGTTTTTGCATTTCTTGTAATAGGCAGAGCCATGGTATTATTGATAAGATCACTGAAATTTGAGCTGCCAGCATATTTAAAACGCTGATAATTGCAAGGTTAGTTGCTTATGTTTTGAGACAGTGCTGAAAGGCAGCAAAAACCATGACCTGTAGATTGTTCTGGAAACAAGGGCATTGCTGCTATTATGCCCTGCCCACAGCAACCAGCATCCTAGACCAGCTAAGGTTACCTTTATCCTTTTCCAATTCTAAACATTCCTGCCTCCATCTGTAGGGGGCTGGGAACACTCCAGACACAAACAACTCTGACTGAATATACCCAACCACCAAGGATATAGACGATCAGTTTTGAAAGAGAAATAAGGTTCCTAAATAGATGTCCTCCTTTTCAGGAGAGGCATGCAAAATGTCCCATAATTGAAATACCTGGAGCTTAGAATGGCGTTTTCTGACTGGTCTTGAAATGTTTTGTGTGCCCCTAAGCCAGAGATTTCGGTTGCAAATCCAAATTGGTTCTTAGTATAATTATTACTTCTATGGCGCGATTCATCCCTATCATGGCAACAGACAGTTCTCTTTCCCAAGCTGCTTACAATCTCAGACTTGACTCAGGTGTGGTTGTTCAAGGAAGAAAGAAGGATAGAGGAGAAGAAAAGGAAGCAGAAAATAAGCATCCAACTCATTTACTTAGGTTTGATTTCACTCTGGGTAGAGGATTCAGGGGTTATAACTAAACTCCAAGTCTACCACAGTCTGTGGTCATTCCTCAACCTGGGCTCTTCAGACCTGATAGACTGCTCTGGTGCCTGGAAGGAAGTTAGAGCTTGCTGTTCAACATAATTGGATAGAACCAGATTGGAGGAAGCTTCTGTACACCAAACGACTTTCCATATAACACGTTGGAAAGTTAGTGCTATTTTCTCCAGCTATTGTTTAAACATATTTCTCCTTCATTCTTTGCAGACTCTCCAAGGAACTTCTGTTGGATTCACAGAAAACTCTGGTCTTCAAAGTATGGCATAAAGCAGGTATCTCTTTCTCTAATTATAATTCCTGCACAACAAGCAACTTCTAACTGCAGCACAGCAATCTTTTCTAAAATGGATTGCTGTGTCTATCCATCCTCAGTTGTGATTTTTATTGTTGTTTGTTTGTACTACAGTTAGATGTAAATGGATACTAAGTAAATGAACTGCTGCTGGTACTAATAATTGAATATAAGGTGCCCAGAGTTTTTTTAAGATGGGCGGCTATATAAATGTAATAAATAAATAAATAAGAATCTTATCAAGCAAATCAGGGCTTGATTGTTGATATCCTGTAACCCAGATTTCTGCAATAGAAACTTCCTAGTTTAAATTTGTTAATAAGGCCTAAATAGGTGATTGACCTGTTAGGCTTCCAGTTCAACAGGTAAAAACAGTTCCAAGGGGAAGAAACACTTTGACCCTTCAGGCAGGCTGCAATTGTTCTGCCAACTTTCAACAACTATGGGCTCCTCTAAGCAATTGTTTGAGCATTTGAAAATGAAGATTGTTCCCTTTTACAAGGCAGGGGAAGGCTATGAAAAAAATTCCAAATCGCTTCCAGCTGACAACATTTTGGGGTGTTTTTATTGCTGTTTGTAAACTGCCCAGGCTTATCTTGAAGCTATATAGGTCTTATTTATAAATAAACAATTTCAACTCCAAGAAATGTGGTTAAAAAGTCAAGGCAAGATCTGAAAAACTAAGAAATATCTCTGACTAAAAACTGGTCAGATTTTCAAATGCTCTTTGAAAAGTTTAGCTGAGACTACTTGTCCCTGTTACAATGCAGTGCTGCTTATTCAACAGTTCTCTGTGTGAGAGAGTTGTCAGAAGGAAGCCTTTTCTCTGACCTTATCACAAAAATCATTTCCAAAAGTATACAAGATAAGCTTGAAATCCTGTGGAACTAAGTGCTCTGGACTCATGAAACAAAAATGGAATGGTTCAGCCACAACCCCACAAGGTATATTTGGAGAAAGAAAGGGTAGAGTATTTGAAGAAAGCAATATCTTGCCGCCCATAAGCACATGGGTGGCTCTATTATGCTCTGTGTGTGGCACCTGGTGGCAGAGGAAGAAGTATTGTATGGGTGGAAGGTAGAATGAATTCCACTAAATAGTGTATTCTAGAAGCAGATGTCCTACAGACGTTAAGAAATTGAAGCCTAAAAGAGGTTGAAGCCTCTAGCAAGTCAGTGATCCAAAACATGTCACCAAAATCAGTCATGAAATACTTACAGAAAAGGAACATAAAAGTTTTGGAATGGCTTTCACAGTTTCCAGACTTGAATGTTATCAAAAATCTGTGGGGAGGTCTCAGCCATGCAGTACATGCAAGGAGAACAAAGAATATTTATAAGTTAGAAGGGTTCAGCAAGGAAGAGTGGGGAAAAATTCCAAAGCAGAAGACAAGTAGGACTCTCCTGCTTGAAGAAACGTTTGGGAGCTATACTTTCTGCCAAAGTAAGTATTAAGAAACATGGATTTGAAAGCTGTCCAAACTTTTGCACAAATTATATTCAATCTTTTCTTATTTTGAATCTGTAAGCAACTGTAAATAAATAGTAAGCATGCATTCAAATTTGCAGCGAGATAGATTTAACTTTGCATCAGGTAAGAGTTTGTATTGGCTTTTGTTCATTTGGGGATTCATTGAAACATACTGTTTGACCAGGGTGCCTAAACCTTTGCATGTAAGTGATAATGGGAACTACAGTCTTAACCATATGGAAGAAAGCAGGTTAAGAAGAGGTTAAACTAGAGCCTTCTGATATTCTTCATTTTCTGCTCAATCCATCGCCTTTTCCCTTGGCGTGTTTGCCCATTTGGCCTATTTAGGGGCTAATGGTTGGGAATGGTGGTACAAATGGAAATGGTGATACGCTGCCCAGAGTCAGTTGTTGAGATAGGCAACTATAGAAATCCAATCAATCAATCAATCAAATCAAGGTTTCTTATTGCAGTTCCACAAGGTGCACATTTTAACTGACCCTGCTTAGATGGCATGCCTGCCTTTACATGCTGTTCTTCCCTGCAGATATTGAACGAGTGATAGGATTTGCATCCGTGGACCTCTCCCCCCTGCTCTCTGGCTTCCAGTTCATCTGCGGCTGGTACAACATCACAGACTTCAGCGGACAGTGCCGAGGGCAGATCAAAGTTGCCGTCTCCCCGCTTGAAAATATAACTCATCTGAAAGAAGAAAGGCAGGCAAGAAGCTGTCAGACAAAAGCATCAGGATCCTCTGTATGTATCGTTTCCAGTTTATCTTTTATGCTTCTGCTTGCTGGACCAACAAAATGGTCTGTAAAGTTGCACAGCCGTTGACTATTTCGGGCTCGCACAGTATGGGAAAGCATAGACTTCTTATTTCAGTTTTCTACAACTATCAGGATGTTACTTGGGGCAAAATATTGTATTATTTGACACTGCCATTCACTTAGCTCCATATGTTCTTTTTCTCCCCCACCCAACCTCCAGACCTGCCTGCTGTTGTCTGCCACACCCCACCTTTTTTCCTTTGCCCTGCTGGTTGAGCCATCTCCCCTGGGACTCCTTCTCAGACTGCTTTTCCCAGCTCCACTGGCTTCCCTTCCCTCCAAAGGCATGTCCCTTGCTGAACAGTGGGCTTTTTACACCCAGCACAGACTCTCCCCTCCTGCGGGTCGTAGTTCAGATCTAGGTGCAATTTGTCTTCCTCCCAAAACTATTACCGTTTTCTTTTTTTTAAGTATCTCTTGTCAGTCTGGTGATATTTACTGTTCTTCACTGTTGATACCGATACCGATGTTATTTAAATGATTTCTGTATCTTCCTTTGGACTTGTGTTATCCTGAAACTTGTTCAGGCTAAATTTCTAATGAATCATATACTTTGTGAGATAAAAAACCAAAGGTTTGGTTGGCTCTCTGAAGAGCCCCTGTGCACTTTAGTATGATCAAATGAATATCCACAGTTCCCAAAAAAATCACATATAGACAACAAATACTCGCATTTCGTTTGAATATGGTTTCTGCCATAATTGGCTAGCCTTTAAAGTACATTGCACTCTTTTGTCCGTATTCTATGAAAAAATTCTCATTGACTTTTCTTTTTTCTGAGAAGGAAGCCTGATGAAATCTCCCCTTGGGCTCCAAAATGTGGGACTTAGCAGAACTGCACATTGTTCCAGCTCAGGAAATGCCTTGCTGTTTCTTTATTGTCCCAGAATGCCAAGTGGAATCTAAGCGTTGCAATACCTGTTAGTAACGTTTTGTTTTTGCACCTTTGAGTCAGTCTTGACTCTTGGTGTCTACCTAGACAAGTCCCTGCCATTTTGTTGTCAACATTTTTGGAAATGGTTTGCCCTTGCCGTCTCCTAGGGATGAGAGAGAGTGACTGGCCCAAAGTCCCTCAGTTGGTTTCATGCCTCATGCGGCACTCGAACTCACTGTCTCTCGCTTTCTAGCCTGGTGCCTTTAACCACTATGCCAAACTGGCTCTCCGTCAGTAACCATTTTGCACAATCTGCTCTTTCTCTCTTGAGGTGGATTTAACATTGCAGACTTCATGGCCACAATACCCAGCCGCCTTTGGGGAAATGGCTATTTCTTTTTTCCTTTCCTTTTCTCTGCTATTCAAATTGCTGGAAAGCTCAAGAACTTTAGGGAAAAAATGGCATGCTTCTTGCAACCTTTTCCTCGTCCTAATAAACTGATGGCCCGACTGTGGATTGGGGCTCTCTCTTGAACGGGCTGCAGATGCTCACCTTAAGGCCTTTGGCTTTCCAGGCAAGGGGCGTGTATCCTGCATTCTCACCCTTCTCCACAAGAGGCACTCCCAGACTTTCAGGGTCTCCACTGAAGAGCCCAGGAGCTTCCAGTCATGAGAGGTAAGACAGAATGAGAGGTGGATGCTCTTCCAAATAGATAAAAGGGTTCCGGGGCTCCAGCGTTACTGCATAGTGTTTGCTTGTTTCGTCCCAGGCATTTACTGGCAGGGATATCTTCCACTGCGTCTCTGTTGCATCTCTCAAAGTTCTGATGCACTAAAATTTCAAATTCTGCTTCCTCTCTTGTACGTTCTTTACCACCGTTTAATGGAACATGATTGCACATATTTTGTAGGTATACTGTACCTAGTTGTGTCTGATACTTCTACATGCTGTGTGTTTTCAGTTCTATATAGTGTGCTCAGGTAAACTAAATAACTTTTATTTAATTATTTATCCATGATCTCATTTAATAAACACAAAACTGCTAAAAGGTATTTCCACAGGTATCTTAAGCTTTTCCAATAGCTATGCCTATTTAGAATTAACAGCCCCAGCTAACCGGAGCCAATGAAACCAAGGGGCCATTTGTTCAGAGCATTGGGCAGCCACTGCTATTTCTCAAAAGCTTGGTCAAGGGCAATCTAGAGCTTTATAGTGAGGGGAAGGTGGGGGAGACACACCAGCTCTTTGCGTTGTCCAAACTAAAGCCTAGTTTCAGGGTCACTTAAAATGCACATTGACAAAACTGGCTGAAAATTTTCATATTAAGAATGGTTTTTTGTGTGAAGAGCAGCCCCATAGAGAAGAACTTGCAGTAATCTATCAGAGGCAATTAGGCTATAAATCCTGGTCACCAGATCCTCCTTTTCTGTCTGCATGGTGTTTGAACCTTCCTTGAGGGAAAAATAGAAAGGGCGTGGTGCTGTTCCAGCCCTAGCTAATGGTGTCCTTTCCTTAGCAGGACTGAATCCCGTTACAAAGAGCATGTGCAGAATGTCCGCCGGTTCCACACATCATTACAGCAAGCAGAAGAGAACACACACCAAGTTGGAAGGCTCGATTCACTGTCCCTTTCCTCACATACTTCCCTTTTCAGAGCTCTCAGGTGAAAAGATAAATCAAAGTCATGCATTAATGTCACAGTAGAGTAGAGAGCAAGGGCTCAGAAGTAATCCCACCATGAAGGGTTACTTCTGGAAAACTCTCTTATTATGAAATGGAGGGCATAAAGAGCAGTCAGAGTGTGTTGGTCCATTTAAAAAAAATAAAATAAAATCCATGGTTGAATAATACTTTATTAGGACTAGCCAGAATGGTACAAAAGATGGTTCATGTTTTGGAGTTCTCCAGAACCTTTTGCCTCTTGAAGAGCTCTGAAGGATATGAAAACATTCGTGATTTGTCTTTTTTGGTTGATCTTAATAAGAGGGGTCACCTGACCATAGATGCTGAACTGAAAAATGTTTGGGAATTCCTCAGAACTAGGTGCCTTGTGGGTATTTGGGGTGGATATTTCTGGCTGATTGGGATGGTAATTGATGGAGTTTGCATCTGCCTGAAAATGTTGCCTTCAGACTGGAAACTTGCATCTCAGTTGCAGATAAAAAGCCAGGGTCTTTCTTGTTCAACATCCCATAATTTCCTACAGTGGCCAACTGTAGCAAGGCATTAAAAACTTGGCTTTGCCATCCAGCCTGGGGCTCTGATAGTGTGGGTAAGCCTCTTGTCTGATGATATTGATTGCGCAGTGTTTTATTATTCTTGGCTGCTATTTTATCCTGTTGTACTTATGTTTTTAATCACTGATTTTGTTTTATTTTGTTCTCATTTTGTTTTAATTGTTAGCCACCCAGAGTCATGATACGAGATGGGCGGCCATATAAATTTATTTAATAAATAAATAAACAAACTAGATGTCTCCAAAAAGCCCCACAGCTGGATACAAATGGAGCAGCCTTTCCTCATGCCCTCAACTTCTACTCATGGGCCTCTAAGCTTTGATCCTAGCTATCTGGAGTTATTGTGTGACAAGAAGGATATAGGCGCTCAGTTGTTAATTGAAAGAAACAATAATTAATTTTGGGTTGTAAATTGCTTCTATTGATTCTTGGCTAGCACCAAGACTCGGTTTGGAGAAGGGTTTGGTGACAAAATGGAAGAATGTTTCCATCTTACATAGAACCTAGCATGCTAGAGGTTTACCTTGTACCTGACCTGTCTTCCAGAAAAAATCTGAATGAGCTTGATGAGATCCAGAGATACTTCAGTGGAAAACTCACCAGGCCTTTCACAGACTCGGGTGCTCCTTGTAGCACCACGGATGGGCTTGGCATCCAGAGACCTGCTTCCAAGGGGGTAGATGCAGGAGACCATCTGTGGAAGAAGCCCATCCATCAGATTTCTCAAGTTAGCCAGAGTGGCGGTAAGTTGTCAACCATCTGCGGTAGTGGCTGTCTTCTGGGTGGCTCTGGAGGAGAAGAAGGGGATGGCTAGTAGTGCTGTTGAGTTTTATGCCCACAATTCCCTTCGTATACCTCTTTATTCCAACAAGGTTTTACTCTTTTAGCCGAATGAATGCCGGTATTCTAAATGTTGAGGAAATGAGGCATCGCTAAGTAACTGTACAGCGATCTTCCTCTTAGTCTTTAACTAAGCTGTGAGGTGCCTCTGAGGACAACACGTTGATAGACAACTTCTTGGACAGTCTAGCTGTATGTTTCCTCTTCTGATGCAAAAAGGTGGTCCTCCTGCTTCGTTTCTTTTTCCTTGTCAGTTATCTGCAGTCTGTCTGTCTATTGTGTATTTGACGGCCCTTCTTCCTGGGCCCGGTCAGTGTGCATTTCATGCCATTTCTTTCTTTGGACTTTGCCTGCCAGCATCCGACTTTGAAGACGAGCTTCCACAGGTTTATTTATTTGTTTATTCACTCATGTGATCGCTTTATGTGGCTGCTAGGTGGCTGACAAGGGTGAAACAGGTCAAAAACATCCACAAAGGAAATGTAAACTAAAATGATAAAATAAGTCAGGTAAAACACGCCGTGCCAGGGACCAGACACACAACTCATATCATACAGGAAGCTCACCTGACTTCCTGGCCCAGCACCTGGCTGGGGGTGGGATATTCAAGGTAAAAGCCTCAGGAATAGGAGAAATGAGTTTGCTTCTTATCCTCCAGATGTCTCTCTCAACAGAAGCCCAACACAGCACCCTGCCTCCTTAATACTCAGAGGCTCAGTAGAAGGACCTCCACTTTGCATGCATCTGAGATGGGGTTGGTTATGTGAGGGAGCGCCTATCTTCCACGGTCTCTGCGTGTCCGGTAAGAACAGGCAGAGTTGGTGCACTTCGGGTCCTCTTGATCAAACAATGCCATATCTTGGGATCTAGGAAGCATGCCTTCTCTGTGGTGGCACCTGCCTTCTGGAATGATATCCCCCCTGAGATCTGTGTGGCTTCCACCCTGATAATGTCCAGAAATCTTTAAAAATCCGGCTATTTTCTCAGGCCTTGGGGTAGGGTGTCTGTGGAGCCCCTGTGGGTTGTGCTTTCTGTGTGTGTTTGGATACGTGGGATTTTTTTTCATGGTTTTCTGTTTTTCTTTTTTGCTGTAAGCCACCTAGAGTTGTTCTGGAGTCAGGCAGCCTCTAAATTTCACTAATCAGTCAATCTAATCTGTAAGGCTAGAGGAGTGTTGCCAGTTAGAGGAGACACAATGAGCCATCTGGGCCAAGAGATGGGCTCACAGGCAGCCTCTTTTATTCCTTGATTTCCAGCTCAAGAGGTGCTTGCTCGAAGTGGCATGGAGGGATTGTTGCCTTCTGGGACAATCCTTTGCTTCTTGAGGATCCCAGGCACACCCTACAGACCCGAGGCCTTCTGATCAGCATCTCCTGTGCCCCTTTCATTTGTCAATATGGGACAGAAGCTGGCTGTTCATCTCAAGAGATCCTTGAAATGAAGGGAAACAAGCTGTGGGCTGTGTTTAATGGAAAGCTGTAACGCCTGGGCAGTAATTTCTGTTTATAAGATTTTTGTAGTGTGCAGAGCAGCCCAGAATGACTGCTTCACAAATAAGCAGTGTTTCCTAAAAATTGTGCCTGTTGTAAAAGGCATATAATAGCTGTGGCTTTGCAAGTATGAGATGAAAGTATGTTCCTTTCTTGCTTTGGTCTGTAATAATTTCTGGGATGGACTTCTAGCTCAGCTAAATCAACCTGAATGCAGAATAAAACCTTGCTTCCCTTGCAAAACAGAACTTGAAACCATTAGGGTTGCTTTGCAAACATTCTAAATGCAGTTTTACATCGTTTGCTGCTGTAGTCCTGCAAGAAAATGATACATGTGCTTTGAAAGTTAAATAGTATTTGTGTATAGAAAAGGCTGTCGTGGCTCTGTAATCTGGCTTTGCATCCTTCCAATCAGCAGTTTTAGGGGGTTCGTTAAAGTATGTCAGAGCATTCAGTTATTCTGGTATAATTGTGCACCAAAGGTGCCTGTGTGCTGTATTTCTGCCTGGCTAAGGTTCTGGAGTTTTCTCTTCCTAATTTAGGGTCACACCTCAAAGAACCATGAACTGAAACTGAGGAATAGGCCCTGCCAGGACAGATAAATTCTTACATTTTCACGTTCAGAAAAAACACCCACTTTTTTTTTTAATTCAGGAAAAAGCGTCCCATAGCTCTAAAAAAAAAGTAATAATTTTTAAAAATAAAACTATGTTAATACTAGCAGAAAAAAATGAGGTGTGGAGGTTCTTCAGAGAAAAATTGGGAACTGCTGAGCAAAACTAAGGCTGGCTCATGCTTTGAAAACCCTGGTTTGCAGGGCAACCAGTGTTGTGTCTGTACTACCAGTTGTATGAATGTTACTTTTGTACTCATTCTTTGTAAGTTTAATGCCACCTCAGTATCACTGGCAGTTGCATGAATGCTGAAATCAGTGCTTCCCCCTTTCTTGACAATGCTTCAAAACCCCTTTTCTTCCATTAGATCTATGGAATAATATGATGAACAATCCTGAAGAGTCCTCAGATGCTCATGAAGATGGTAAGAGATTCTCAAGTGCTAATCAGGCCCTCCTTGAACAGGAAAATGGAGCCACCAGGACTGAGATGCTCAAAGGCCCCTTGAGCAATGAACTCTTGAATGCCAGTGTAGATGAAGAACCTTTATTCACTCTTGGAAAATCCTCTTCTGCAAGAGGCATGCTGTATGAATTCCTTGAACCAGCTAGCTCCCAAAGACTCCTCCCTTCATATGTACATGGTGTCCAGAGAGAGGAAAACACTGCTCAGTCCCACAGTGAGGAAGAGTACGAAGAGGCCATTATAGAACCAAGAACTCTGAATGAAATCACCACAGTGACAGACAAAACCAGTCCCTGGTCCAGCTTTGTCTCTGAAGCAGAGCAGGAACCAGGCCATGAGGCAAGAATGGCCAAGAATGGGGAATATTTACCGAAAGAGAGCACAATCAGGAGCAGCTCCGTATCTAGCATAGCCCAAGATGATCCTCTGAGTGTGCCCAGCACTACTAGGTCCAGTAACAGTCCTTTCAGAGAAGAAGATGGGGACAAAGCTGAGGAAGAACAAGATCTTGAAGCTGGGGCAGAAGAGCCCTTCCAGCCTCTGCCCATCTCAGCTGCAGAGCAGGTAAAGAACAAGCCTGCGGAAATCCAAAAGGCTGATCAGGAAAGATCACTGGAAGTCCAAGAGGAAAGACCTGAGAAAGCACCATCCACACACAGTGGTGGAGGAGACTTTGTAACATCACTGATAGTTGCTCCAGAAGTGGTGGAAGGAAGAGAAAACTTGCACAGTAACCCCCAGCAGGAGGAAGGAATGAATGTGAAAGAAGGGGGCCCCCGGCCTTGCCCCGGATCACAGGAGATCATGCAGCAGACTGAGGCCTATTCTGGAGAGAGTGACGAAGATCCACCAGAAGAGTCCACTGTGCCTCCAAAGCCCGTGCTCACGTTGTATCCTTTTTCACCTTGTCAACTGTGCAAAACACCCTCTCATCTTTGAATAAATAATAGAACTTCCATGAGGACTCTTTCTTATACTCATGTCCAAGCGGTTGTATCTTCTTCATGGCCCTCAGTGCTGTCACAGTCAACCCTTCCTCAGGTAGACTTCAACTCACAATCATGGAGGTGAAGTTCAGGATGTGGGAAAGGCAGTGGTCGGGAAGGTTGTCCTAGTTGAGAGGGCTTTTGAACAAGATGCTGGCTAACTGAACTGGCTACTTAACCATGATAAGCTCTAGTCCTTTCCAGCATAAGAGCATGCATGCCACCATAATTTAATATACATCCATAAATGCATGCAAAGTTTGTAGAAAAAACAAGAAGCTTGAGTTGTGCTGTGGCAATCACAACAGCAGCAGAGACAGTCACATTCTACCTCATAGGACTGTTCTGGGGAAAAAATGAGTGGAGGGACAGTGATGTGGGCCACCTTGTGCTCCTGGATAGAGATTTAACAGATAAATAGATAAATCAGAGGCCGGGGAGGTATGTATTTTTACCATGTCTGAGCAGCCTTACAGCTGAGGGTTTTTTAAAAAGCAAAGTGTTGACTAATTTTGCTATGCCTTTTGGCCAGTGCTCTCTGAATAATCAGTCAAAAAGAAACTTTCAGTTCAGAGTTATGAATGGCAACACCCATTCATTCCACTTGCCAATATAATGAGATACGGCCTTTGTGTTCATGACAGGAAACATTCCTTAAGAAATAAGGCTGTCCCACTTGGTGTGAGTTCTGTAGTATTGTGTTGACATAGAGAACTGTGCGTATTTGCTGGTAATTAAATTATCCTTCACAGCAAAAAAGCTGGAGGAACAGTTGCTCCCATTTAAAACAGCTCCTTGCTATGTTGCTGATATCAAAGTGGACCGTAGCGTTTTAAAAACGTAGCACACTTGTTATGCTTTCATGGACTGTTTATTTATTTATCTTAATTTCTATAGCCACCAGTCTCAACCAAGTGACTCTGGGCAGTGAACAATCGTAAAAACAATATTTGGTCAAGTATTGCTTGACCTTAGTCAACAAGGTCAATAATTGGCCTCCTCATGTGCATGGGGTATTAATGAGTGCTGTTCTGTATGTGCCCCTGGTTTGCAGAGGGGAATAAAAGATTTCAGAGGATTAAATAGAGGATGGGCAGGCCATCATGATTACCTGTTGGTAGTGGCCATTCACAAAACAGTGGCTGGATGTGATGAACTTTCTCTATGCTAAAGCCTCAGAGCAGCCTTTCTGCCAGATGTATGGGACTACAATTCCCAGAATTCCTAGCTAGCAAAGACAAAAGTATGTTGGAAGAGGAAGGCTACCACAGGCTCAAGTTCTCAGTAACCGAACCTTTGCCCTGTTGTTTCCAAGAAAAAGTGAAGACTGTAGGTTTGTTTTAATGGTTACTAGTATCCCAAGTCCTTTCTCCAGGAGCAACAGGAAGTCTCCAAGCCCATTGAGAGAATCTACACTTTGCAGGCAGGAAGTCCTAAATTCAGCCATCAAAATTGGCCTGGAGAACTGGGAGCAGGAGCAGTCGGCACTGCCTTACCCAGACCCTACGTAAGGCAGCTGTTGTGCTGAAGCCGTCTCTGGGTAGGCTTTTTGGAGGGGCACCATCACTCCTTGGCAGAACAAATGCTTTTCAGGAAGAGTGGCCCAAATTTGATTGTTGGCATCTCCAGATCAAATTAAGTAGCAGTTGATGAGGAAGATGCTCTGCCTCCATCTCCACCAGTCATTTTAGACAGTCCCAGCTCCTGGGTGGATAAATAACCTGACTTGGTTAAGAGAGATTTCTCTGTGCAATTAAAACTGGAGCCCCAACCTTCTTGTTCTTAGGAAAAGCGGGGAGGGCGGTAGGAATTGACATAGATGCCTGGGAGGAGAAGGAACTCTAGTCCAATGAAAAAGGGCTAGCATTGCCCCAGAGCATTCTGGGACCTGCCCTGCCAAGACACACTATTGGAAGATGAGAACTCTGTGTCTCTCAGTTGGAAGGATCTCACACAAGTACAAGAGAGCACAGGATTGAATGATCCAGTGCAGAGAGGGGAGTTATTCTAGCTGGAAGGAGGTAAAGCCAGTGCATTAGGCATAAACACTGATATCCCTGCAGTGCCGAAAAGATAACGGGGGCTTCATTTAATTCGTTTGTTAATTATCAATCCATAGGCTACAGTGAACCATTGGAGAAAGTATTGGTGTGGTTTGGAATAACGGTTTTCATTTCTACGATGCACAAAAGAGCAAGCTCATTTTTAAGGTCAAATAACTAGTGGTGGTCCTTGCAGCAGAAAGCTCTCTGCAGCAAAAGCACAGTCCTGCACAACCTCCATTAGTCCACAGGAGGGGGTCTTGTCTGGCAGATGTTGCTGAACTGCATCTCCTATCCTCTAACTTTTCTGCCTGGGGCTGCTAGCAGTTGTAATTCAGCCCCTTGTGGAAGCCCCTGCAGGAAATGGGTGTTCAACCTGGAAGCTGTATACCTGTTCTCTTCCTTAACTCTGTTCTTCAGATCTGAGCCCATTATGGTGCCCAACTTCTTCCTTCCCCCACAGCATCTGGAGGTGTCCATGAGGCTTCTCAGCACTTCTTCACTGGCTGCTGCTCATAAAGTAAGTATGGAAGCTGTTTGCATTTTCTTCTCTGCCTTGTTTTCAGCCCTGTAGATAGAGAAAAGCCAGTTGTCCTTCTTCCCCAGACATTTATAGGATCAACTTCCACATAAACAGGGCCAGGCCTGACTTGGCGAGGGGAAGGCTCTATCAAGGGTATACTGGACCTGATCCACCGAGGATCCTACCAGCAGGCCCTCAGCATTTAGCACTTCGGCCATCACACCAGGCAGTCCTGGAGTTAGAACCAGTCCAACCTTCAACTTCCTGAGAATATTTGTTTTAAAAAGCTAGCTGTTAATTTCAAGAAGATAGGCTGAAATGGGTGGGTTGGATTTGGTGGTATCTAGAATGTATAGCAGAGCTAGAAGAGCACGTAGAGTTCACAATATCTGGGAAGTGTCCTGAACAGAAATTTATCCCTCCTAGAAAATGGGAAATCATACAAATAAAAAGTCATGTGTAAATGTTAAGAGGCTTGTTATGGTTATGCTTTGGTGATGGACCGTAACTCAGCCTTTTAAATTGCATTGGGGTATTGCTGTAAATAGATTCCAGACCCTTTGCTCCTTTGCACAGCCATCTCCAACTGCAGTCTTGATTTTGTTGAAAATGTTACAAAGGTGGAAGCTAAGAGTGGGAGGTATCAGGGGGTGTGACAGGCACAAAATCCTTTAGAAGTAATTCATTTCATGCTTGGGTTTGGAATTAACAGCTGCTTAGAGTGGAACCTTCTTGAGCAAGGAAAGCTAAAACCTTTGGAGGAATCATTGGGTGTAAACAATAAAGCAAGAGACATTTGGTTGTAAATTTGTAATTTTAGAAGTGAAATCATTATTGCTGCAGTTACTGTCATCTTCTTTCCTTAAAGTGCCAAGTGTTTGAGGTTTTTTATAGTCCTTCTCGGAAGGTTATTTACATTCACCTCATAAATCCAAGAACTCAAGTGTAGATTTCACTGGACATACAGGCTGTCACTTCCACCAGTGGCAAATTTAATAGGCACCTTCCCCCTTCTTTTGACCTGTGGAGAATCCATAACGATCATTGGCAAAAGAGGGGAACATCTCATTTGGGTTAAACCAGAAATAGACCCTTAACGACCCTGAAGTAATGGCCAAGATCAGAGAGCCGTGAACTTCTCTTTATTAAGATTCCTGAGTTTTCTAACAGTGACAGCAAACTAAAAGGAAAGAACAGAAACATGGAAAATCCTTGAATTAGAACCTGCCAGATCACATTCGGCCTCTGAAATGGTTCTTTCTGCCTGCAGTGAGATTAGCACTTGCGTTTCCCAGATCATAGAGTACCACTGATGAACTATTGGACAAGTGTCTTTTCCATCACAGTAACTTTTTACATGGGGATTCACAGCAAACCTCCATCTTCTTGCCAGAGAACTGTCAGGGCAACCCCCGAGGCTCAGCATATGTATCGTATTCTCTGCAAAGTGGAAAATGCTTTGCAATTTCCATGGAAAATCCAGTTCTCAAGATGTATTGCTTTCGTGAAATCAGTTATCAAATGAGTGGAAGTTGGTATTGAAACCAACATGCAATTAATCCAAACATACCAAATTAGATCTCAGTAGATTTAGGGCTTTGCCAGTCAGTCTCTCAACGCTCCTTACTAGAGAACATGACTGTAACCTAAAGGCTAAGTCTTGCTTTCGGACCTTTAGGCTTTGGAACGTGATTCTTCTCTTAGGAGTCAAAACAACACATCACTGCCTTTTTAGTTTCTCCTGGGAAAATCAGCCTTTCAGCCCAGAGGCCATTGTCCTTCCATTGCCCCAGAGCATGACAGAAATGTTAAATATAATTCTGTATTTTTCTGTGCTGCTGTTAGGACTTCTTCATCCACCAAAGTTGCACATTCAGCTGCTCCTGTGAGAAATGAATATGACTTCTGTTGTATCAATGGGAGAATGACATTTCCTCTGCATGGCTAGGATCTCTTGCCCGTGGATTTTGCCTGCCTCATTTCATCTTTTGCACCTCTGAGCCACTTGATCCCTCAGGCGTCCTGCTTGACGTCACGGCCTTACAGGCCATGGAAGTGCTTTGTGTGGGCCTCCCAGGGAGCTTAGGACAGGGCATCAGACAAAAGCAAGAACTGTTTCTGCTTTCTTCCTCCTCCTCTTTTTGTATCTGCAACATTAGTGCAGAGTCCTGGGAGTGGGTGGTATTCAAGGCCATTTGAAAATATGCAGGCAATCTGTGAGAACCTAACTAGATGGTGTGCCAACCACATGTCTCCTTTTCTTTTTCTTTTTCTTTTTCTTTTCTGGCCTAATGCTCCCTCTCTCCACGTTCTTCTCCGGCCACCTCTTCTGTGTCTCTTGCTCCTTGTCCTTCGCAGTTCACGTGCCTTGAACACCTCTGCACATGCCTCAGATCGTCTCTTGGTTCCCCACACAGAGCAGCCATTCCCCTCGCCCTCTTTACTGATTTGCCCGCAGATGCCGCTTTAACATCCATCACCTCATTCCTTGCAACAAATGATTAGATCTGTTAAAATATATGTAAACGTGGGAGAGGCTAAATCAAAAAGAAAGCAAGATTACCCTTCTCAACAGTCTTTAATGGCAAAACCAAGGAGGATTCCCCCTAAAAAAAGGTTAAAATAAGCATCAAAACTGCAGCACAGAATCCCTGAAAAGAACGCTGTGAAAGGGTTCCCATTCTCGTCCATCCTTTTCCCACACTGCTTCTGAGGACACAATTGTCTAGTCCCAAAGAATTTGGAGAGGGGGTAGCGCTGCCCCAAAGCGCAGGCTTTGCTGATGGAAGATTTCAGCCTCTAGCATCCGTAATTTAAAAGGACCAAAAGATAGCGCTTTGCCTGAGAGAACCACAAGCAAGCACAATAGGCCAATTGCCTGCCCCAGGAGAAGATGGTCCTCCTCTGTTCCTACAAGAGAAGCTGGGGCTGCTCCTTCCCTTTTCCCAGCCATGTAGAAATGCAGGCATGCAAGCAAGGGGTGCCCACAGCCAGGCAAAACACAGATGTCAGTAAGGTTTCCTCATCTGGGGTAAATGCAAAATCTCAGAAACTGCAAGAGGAATTCCCCAGCCTCATTTACTGTGAGTTCATTAAGGCAGAGTCTTTGAATTATTTGAAATGCTTCTTCCCAGGTTTCTCTCCACTTGGGCTGAGCTGCTATGTGGGAGATCCGCTGCCAAAGCAACCCAACTTGGGTCTCTTGATTGTTTTCCTCCATTGCCCCCCCACACACCCATTCCCTTCCCAGCCTTCTCCCAGCCTTTCACATTGGGCTGCTTACATTCCCAGTTTTCCCTGGAGATAATGCCAGGGCTATGGGTCAGGAGGAAGTGCACGGCTGAATGGGTCTGAATAATCTTGCCACATGGCTGCATCTTTCTTTCCTGAGCTCTGCTTCTCCTCCTCCATCCAGGTCAGGTCTGTGGTTCAGCTCTCTTCCCTCCCCCCCCACGCCCCCTCCCTAACACAGATGCCAGGGAATTGCCATGGTATAGAGAACATCATCCAGCATGGCTGGCTGGAGAATTCTGGGAGTTGAAGTCCACACATCTTAAAGTTGCCAAGCTTGAAAAACAATCCTAAGAGGACTGGCACAGGGCTGCAAATCAACCTGATATCCTCCAGATGTGGGAGTTCAGAGGGCTGCAGTCCATAAACATCTGGAAGGCAGTGAGATGGGGAAAGTTGGATTAAGTGATTTGCAAAGAGTCCAATACCTGAAGGTGGTTTGGAAATTTCCAGTTGACGCCACAAATCTCACCTTATTGTCTTGAGCTGAGAGAACTTAAAGGGTTTTGGCAACTCTGGTGATAACTGAGATTTATCTTTCTGTCCTAAGCTAAATTCGGTCGGGCCCTTTCGCTGGTGAGGTAGGGCATGAACATGTGACATGTTTTCAAAGGGTGTTCTGGAAAGGGTGCTGTGGAATCAGAGAATTTGCAGTTTTAAGTTGGGAGTATGTTGAATAGAAACTTGCAGCTGCTGGAAAAATCCATCCTTTCTGTATTGGTCTTGACTGCACAAAGGGCTGCGGTGTTTCAGATGCAAACGTACCTGGTGCTGTCCGCTGTGGTAAATGGCTCTTTTGCAGAATAAGATGGGCGCCTTACGTGCCTTTCTCCTCTACGGAAGGCTCGCCATTTATACCTCTGTCAGAGTTCCCATTCTTGAACTCTTTCTTCCACCAACTCCTTTTGCTTTGGAACACTAGAAACGATTGTTTTCCACCAGTGGATTGGTGACGGACTGAGCCCCTCTTTGCAAAGCGAAGTTGGTTGACTCCAAATCTCCTTTGACTTCAGTTTATGAATGTGACTATAGCAATGTTCCCTAACCTGGCTGGAGATTCAGGACTATGGAACCTATCTGGAGGGTATTAGATTGAGAAATCTGGTCTATGGATCAACACTTTCACGCTTTTCAACTGGATTCAAAACTGTTTTTTCCCCAAAGGAGCACCGAGAGCTCAGAGCTTATTAAAGATGCTTTTGGGAACCCTTTGTTTCTGTTAGAGATTTTAGAGTTTCTCACTGGGGAGAAAACTTGCACAAGTCTCTTGAATTGTCCTGCTCAAGGCTAGAAGAGATTGCCAGCCAGCTAATGCGTGTTGAGGAGACCAGAAAGTGGAGGCAGTGCACCGGATCTTTCCAGTCCGCTGAAATTCCTTGTACTGGGCACTCGGGGTTGAAATCAGAAGGGCGTTGAGCAAAACTCAAGTGTGTTGATCAGCAGAGGTAGCATTGGGGAAAGTGTGAGTTCATCTGGCTTGCTTTCCGTGCCTGCGTCACTTGCTGACTAAAGCTGTACAGAGGCCGGCAACACAGGCAGGAGCCAGCTGAAGCCAGATGAATTTTCAGCTGCGACACCGACACCAGGGTGCCTGATGGCAGGAGGGAATCAGCTGCCATCTTTGCGGCCTCTTAAGACGCTCAACAGCACCGTCAACATTTAAGTGCCTCTGGACTAGCTGTAAATAAGTATATATAAATAGGATGGCTGTAATCAAATACAAATGTCATTTGTTTGGGCTTTCAGCCTATCCCTTCAGCAACTGGAAAGTTGCAAGCACTGGATGCTAATGAGCCACTGAACGTGGCCACCTAAGAAGCACTGGGGGCCAGCATCCTTCAGTCATCTAGGATAGTTTTGTCCAGCAGCAGTGGCTATGCCGTTTGGGTATTTTGGGAGTTGGAGTCCAGCGTGTCTGGAGGACCCTCAGTTGGGGAAAGCTAATGAAAAAGGATTCCGCGATAGAGAGAACTTCCTGCTGGAATTCCAAGGATATCCCCACTTTTTCAAACATCCGAAGACTCTGGACCACGGTGGGGGTGAAAGAGGGGCTGTTCTTGGAGCCGCAGCAGGAACAGCGATAGGGCAGGAAATCTCTGGACTCGTTTCTTGCAAACATCCTGGGGAGATACTTACTTTTAAGCCGTAGCCAGGGCTTCTCTCTGGCACACATATTTGATTACCATTTTATTTAGATCTTGTGCTTCGCAAAAATTGTGTCTTTGGGGCTAGAACTAAGCAGAGGCAACTGGTGAAAGCGCAGCAGAGTGTATTATTAGCAGCAGTTTATTATTGCTTGGATAACGTTAACCCAGCCAAGAATGCCCCGTTTCTAGAAGTCAGCAACCCTTCCTTGAGTTTCAGGACACAGGTTGGAGGGAAAAACAGGCCCACTTAGTAGGTGAAAGGTGGGAGGGCCATTAATAGCTTGTGACAAGATGCTAGACTGTTCTGCCCTTTGCCGAAGACAAATTTATTCCCCACTAGGGTTTAATATTGCAGAACAGAGTTTAATTTCCACCCCACCCACATTTATTTTGGCTTGTCTCCCTTCCTTTCACAAAAGTTCAGGACAGAAGGGGAAGGCCGACAGGTCTCTATCATCTGCTTTTTAAAAAAAAAAGTCAGGATCCTTCATCAGCACAATTCAAACTTGTGTCAGAAACAGAATCTGCCCCCTGTATAAATAATGCAATTTTAGGAAATGCATTTGTAGAGCAGTGGTAGGGAGTTAAAAGCGTTTCACGGATGCTGGCCTGTTGTGATTCTTGACAATCCTGCCCACTCACATAATGGGGACACTCCTTTCTACATTATGAGAGAACATAATGTGTGACTCGCAATGGTCCTGTCACGCCTCCGGCGTGGTACCTCCCGATGTGCCACGTCAGCTCCCATAAGTAGTAGCCATGCTGGCCAGAGGATTATGGTTCTTGAAATCCAGTGTATTTGAAACGTACCATTGTGAGAAAAAAACGATCTGCTCTAAAGGCGACAACAGTGGAAGTTTCCAATGGGAACTTTTCCCAGACCTCCCTGGAAATGCCAACCACTGAAATTAGGACCTTTTGCATGGAAAACAGGTGCGTTGTACTGAGTGTTGGCATCCTTCCCCTCAGAGGGGTTAGCTGGCCGTTAGCATCAGCTTTTGGAACTTCTTGATCTGGGAGGATTGTCTGACACTCTCTGGTGCTTTTCCTTCATAGGAAAGCTTTTCTGGTTTGTAGACTTTTACCCACCCCTCCATGCCATAGGTTCCCTTTGCTGTTTTGTCTGCTGTCACACCTGTCTACATCATTGTTACTGGTGTCTCTGATTTTTTTTTAATTCTATTAACCATCTTGAGGAGTTATATTTCCAAAAAGTGCAAACTGCTGGCTGATTGCCCATTTATGAATGATGGGCTGCTTCCGGCAGAGGCTGTAAGGGAGGTCCAAGAAGCCACTTAGCAAGAGAAGAGTTTTCTAGCCGAGTTCAGCAAAGGAGTTTAAGGATGAAACCCCAGCAGAAGTTCCTCCTAAGTCGAGAGTGTGTACTTGGTTAAACTGAGAACCCAGGGAAAAAGTCAGAGCCTCCTATCGCTGGCCCTTTAAGAAAAGCAAAAATTAATGTAAGCGGCAAAAGTTCCACAGTCGTGACCTGCAATACTTGTGGCATGTTTGTGTTCCTGTCTGAGGACAACCTGGCAAATGCAAGTTTGCAGGAGAGCTTGAGGGAAGAGTCAGTGGGTCGGAGTGACAAGTGGCGATGCTTGAGGTGATGGTGAGAGGGCGAAGGATTGTCAGAAAGGAGGTGATGCTTCGGGGAGTGACAGGACCGTGGAGTGAGAAGGAGCCAGGTGGGCCCTTGAGAACAATCCCTGCTTAGTACCATCATCTAGACCAATGCCTCTCAGACCAGTGTTTCCCAGCCTTAGCAGCTTTTCGATGCGTGAACTTCAACTTCCAGAATCCCTCTGCCAGCCATGCTGTTGAAGTTGTTGAAGTCCACGCATCTTAAAATTGCCAAGGTTAAGAAACGCTGACCTCAGAGGGCTGTCCTGCCTCTGCTTGAATACGACCAATGAAGGGGACCCCTCCACCTCTCTGGGTCATTGATTCTACTGCCAAAGTACCCTTAGTTTGGGGAGGATTTTTGGGGATACTCAATCTGAATCTGCTTTCATATAACTTGATTGATTGATTATGTGCTATCAAGTCATTTTCAACGCCTAGCGACCACACAGATAGATACATCCGTATAACTTACATCTTTTATTCTGTGTCCTGCACTCTAGAAGGAGAGAGAACAGATATTTGGAGGCTCTTTATGGATTTCCCAGCAGCAAAGTTGGCTGGACTCTCTGTAGGTATGGCTGGAAAAATCAGCCTCCCAGCCTGCTTATAGATGGCAATGAGAGCCTAAAGCCCAGAAATGTTTTCATTTATGTTTAATTAATTTAATTGTTATAAGCGGTCTCTGTAATATGTTTTAACTGTTGGTTTTATTGTATGCCACCCAGAGTCACCTAGTGGGAGATGGGCGGCCACATAAATTTGATATAAAATAAATAAATAATAAATAATGTTGCTCCTCCATGGGATATCCCATTATTTCCCTTTCTGTTGGCTTGTCTTAAAGCTAAATGTCCCCAGCTCCTTCAGTCTTTCTTCTTAGGGCTTAGTTTTTAATCTCCTGACCAACTTCCTTGCCCTTCTTTGGGCCTGTCCAGTTTCCCCAAGACGTTCTTAAATGTCATCCCCAGAACTGGACTCAGAACTGGAGGCAGGACAGTGAAATAGAGTGGAATGACTATTTCCTGTGGTTTAGAAACTATCCTTCTGTTGATGTAGTGGAAAGTTGCCTTTGCCTTTTTTGCAGCAACATCACACATCTGGCTCATGCTGAGCTTGCCATCAACTGCTCTTCCGAGATCTTTTTCACAGTTACTGTTAACAAGTCAGGTTCTCCTTCAATGCATTTGATTTTTCTTTCCCAAGGGAGGAACTTTGCACTTATCTTTGTTAAAAACTATTAGCCCATTTCTCCGCTGTATCAAATCATTGTGAATTTTATTTCTGCCTTCTAGGGTGTCAGTTACTCCACCTGCTCTTTGTTACCAACTGAGAGTGCAGGACGTAGAATAACGGAGTTCAACCGCCAGGTTCAGCGTCTTACCATCTGTGCTAATAGACAGAGAAGTAAAATCTCCCTGATTCAAGCTCACCTTTGCCCTCACCTGCCTGGGGAGCATGAGGCAGTCCTACAAGTTTTACGTTGCTGCCCATTTTGTCCTTCCTGGAACTTGCATTAAGGACTGCCTCGTTATCTAACCATCCCAACAGACCAGACATGTTGCATGTAATTCTTCTTTCCAGTAGATTCAGCTCCAAAAGTCTCCAAAAAGGTGGCCGAATTCTGCTGTGTGCCCATTATTGTTTGGGGATGGGAAGCGTGGTTTTGTTTTGCCATCCATCTTGTGCACATGACAGTACTCCGTTGAAGCCATTTGCATCATCTTTGTCCTTCCCCACAATTTCCTTTAAATTGTATGCAATGTGTATGGGACACCTAGTCCCTCCCCATTAATAAAGTGCACTAGTAAGAGCCATTTGAGAAGGGGAGATGGGCGCCCCATCACTGGCGGTGTTCAGGTTCCACCATCTGCCTGAGCTGCTTTCATTTGGACACTTGTGCTGAAAAGACGGTCCGCTTCCTCAGTTTTGTTTCATTCAGAAAAATGTTGAAAACCAAGTTCCTTCGAAGGGCGTTTCCAGGCTAAGATGACGCCATCTGCGTTGTGTGCACTGTGTGGTTTGAAGGTGATGGAAGTTGTTACCGGTCATTAATGGGCTTATTCGTGCATTCCTCAAAGATGTGACCTTTACTGTGGGATGTTTTAAATGTTTTTTCCACCAGGCGTTTCTGTTTCTCTTTTGGGAACGGCACAGTTTTCCTTTCGTTTCCGTTCCTTCCCGCAGGCTTGTGGCAATCACACCAGTTTCACTTCTGCAGTGAAAGTGATCCCTCCTACTCCATTTTTGACATCAGAGGGAAATTGTGACAATACTTAGTTATAGTGTCACAAGGTCAGGTTCGTCAAAAGCGTTTCCCCTTTTTTAATACAAAACCCCCCTCTAAATCACTTTGGGTTTTTTTGTGGGGAGGGGGCAAGACTCCCCCATCAAACCAGTTGTTTCCTAGAAGGAAATCATGTTCCTGAACGTGCTTTAGTCCCTGAAGAAATTGGGTTTTTTTAAATGGCTTCTGAATACGAGTGACAAAAAGCTCTTTCTTGCGTGCTGAAGGGAAGACAGAGCAGTGTTATTTTTCTTCTGTTTCAGACTGGAGATTACAGAAGCGACGCTCCAGGAATTTCTCACCGAAGGCAGACCCAGCACGAGCCGAACCTGTTGCCTTTTGAGCTACCCGAAGAGGAAACGAAAAGAATTGCTCGGATCTTTTCTACGCAGTTCTCCAAAAAAGCGTAAAACCGGGGCCAGCAGGACTGGGTCCGTGCCTAAAACTTTCTGCGAAGGCAGCAGCTGCAGCGTGCTGTGAACTCAGGCTTCTTCGTGCCATCCAGTCCGAACGCAGAGGAGTTGTCACATCAGCACAAGGTCCCTCTGCCTGGCCGAGAGACTTCCCCGTGGCCCCTGCCCTCTGTTTCTGAACCAGCACATAACAATCAGCACTTTGTTTTCTCTGAAGAAGATAGACTCCCACGTAACCCAAGACAACGAATTGTCTTGGGACAGACCCTGCAACAGTCACCCAGAAAGCAGCTTGAGTTTGGAGTGGGCACCACCAGGACAACTTCTGTTCTCCCAGCCACATCCTGGCCCCTGCCTTTCCAGCCTCTTGTTCCTCCTGGACCGAGCTTTGATAGGACTGGTGTGGGAGCCGCAAAGGGGCTGCTCTTTCCACTTTGCTAAATAACACCCAGGGCCCGGGAGTAGCTCGTAGGAGGGGCCTTGGGATCTTCCCCACTCCCACTCCTCTTATAGCTGAGGAATCCACATTTTTTTCTTCTTTTTTGCAAGTGTCAGTGTCAGTTTGGAGAGAGGCTACACATCAGCCAAAACCGGTTAGTTGTCACCTTAGTGATAGGAAAAAAGCCGCATTGCAGCAACAGAATTACCTTTTTCCTGTCTCCAGCCTTCTGGCTCTGTCTCGTTTTGGAGCGTTGGAGAGGAACAGATTTTATTTCAAACCGTTGCATCGCCCACTCAGGCACTTCCGCTACCTCTGATCTGTAAATGCACACTCACTCACTCACTCACTCACTCACTCACTCACTCACTCACTCTCTCTTTAAACTCCAACCTGGATTTCTTGTTTGCTCTTTTCTTTCTTTTCATTTTTCTCCATTGGAAAAATATCATTTCTGGGTTCTCTGCCAAAGGAATTGGGAGGTAAAAGCTGAGTAGGGGGAAAAATGCGTCCTCTCCTGAACACTTTTCAATACTTGCACCAATTTCTTCTCTCAAGCCCCCCCCCCCAATCAAATGCAGGTTTGAAGCTTATCTGACCACCCTGGATGAGGTGTGGACTGGAAGGGGTGGTACAAGAGCCGTAATGAGCTAAGGATGCTGTTTTATGCAGACGGGCTGCTCCGTTCTCACAGGATTGGGAAATGCTCTGTCTGTGGAAGTTTTCCCACCCCTGGACAGCGAGAGGCAGCCGACGGTGGGGTTTGCAGATCCACATCCCGGTGGAGTGTGCACAGGTGTGTGTGTGGCTCTAGTTGATTGTATATGCCTTGATCCTACTTGTTTGTCCATTTTTTAAGATCACATCAGGTTTTTAGAAGAACAAGGTTTCCAAATGGAACCATGCTAATTTATTTCCAAAGTATTTTTGTTTGTTTTTTACAGTCGTGATTCTGGGTTTTGGTTTTTGTTTTACAATAAAAACAACTTATATTTTTATGAACCCACGCATATTTCTTTCATAATGATGTTTCAGGCAGTAGACATTTCCCTAATGCTGACACTTTCTAGTCGAAGCTGTAAAATTTCAGGAGCAAGGAAGGCACCAAGACTGGGTAACTACCAAGGTTCTGTCTACTATTATCCTACAGTTTAAAAATAAGAATATGTGAGAGCGAAGGACAACTCGCTGAGTGTTCTGTTCTTGCAGTGGCCGGCCAGGGAAGAGGACAGAAACAGCAACTCTTCCCCTTCTCCAGGCATCAAAATCAGCCTTTCCCAGCCTGCTTTTCACTCCGACTCACATCATCCCCAGCCACGAACGACATTAACTGAAGATTGTGGGAATTCAGTACTACGGAGGTCACCAGGCGGTGGAAGGCTGATCTGATGCAGAGAAAGATCCTCTTGTTTTAACTTGGCCGGGCTGTTGTCCATACCCAAGAAAAGATACACAGTTCAATTATTATCATCCTATTTCCTCGAAAGTTATAATTTTCCATCCAGTGCAGATTCCCTGCTGCGGCTTCCTGTAAAAGTAGCAAATGATCTGATGCCCTCTGGCACACTCTCCCCCAGGTAAAATGCTGTTGTAGCATTTGACAGTTTTATGGTGTCCCTTTGCACTTCCACCCGCCTAACAATGGGGCTATTTTAATGTGTTGCCAGACACCAGGCTGGGTTGTGGGAACATTCTCAGGTTACCAGACGCACCCGAAGAAACTCTGCCTGAACTGTTTGTCCCAGAAACCCGAGAAGAGACTGGGAATTTTCTTCTGCCGTTGGACTGCGAGATCCTGATCCGAAGGATCAACTTGCAACACACCTACCGAGCAAGAGAACACATTTTTTTTCTGTGACGCCTGCAACAGCGGCAGAGGTCACACAACTTCCTGGCCTCGGGTGTTGTTAACTGTAAATTGTAAGCACAGCCTGCTCCTACATACGTCCATAATTGCGCAGAGAATTGGCTGGCTCCCTGTCCCCAGGTGTGTTCACGCAGAGGCTGGGCAGCCATCCGTCTGTGATGCATCGATGTGGATTCCTTCACTAAGCTGGGCGCCTCAAGGATCCCTTCCAGCTGGATGATTCTAGCTCTGCACAGGCTCTAGAGCAGCGTTTCTCAACCTTGGCCGCTTTAAGATGGGTGGACTTCAACTCCCAGAAGCCCCCAGCCACACTAACGTCCATCGCATGCTAAACTGAGCTAAACATCTTCCCAGAGCTAACACTGACTACGCTTAGTATGCTGGTACGTGGGCACTAGTCCCTATTATGTTTGCACTGAACTCGGTTAAATTGGTTGTGCGAACAGCACCCACCGTGCACCACAGAGATGTGCAACTTGGCAGGCTGCAAAAAGAATCATCATCAAACCCTAGTTCTCGCCCTGGTTGCCGTTTCATGGCCACATGTCCCCAGAGCACCTGGATGACATGTGGCAGCGGGAATCAGTAGAGCCCACCTTGCCCTGAAAGGCGCATGGGAGGGAACATGACAACCAGCTCCTCTTCCATTCACCTCTGCCTCCCTTTTCCTTGCTCACGTCATCAAAGTCCATCTCAGAAGAGGAGAAGCAGGTGCGGAGGGCCAAAACCTTCCAAAGGGCCAAGCTGCCTCCGTTGCCAAGATCTCTTCTGAATGCACCAACTGGGGTCAGGTCTTATGCTGGCAAGCAGATTCTGGATTGGGTCAAATTCAGCCAGTAACCTGGATGGGGAGGTCAGCACAAGGGCAGGAGAAACCCCCTGAATTAGGAAATGGCCCTTTTTTTCTGAAATGCTCTTAGTGTGAGGGAGCTAATGCTCTAGCTTAGTCCTTGGAGGAGTTTGATCAGAAGCAGTTTGTGTGAACCTGGAGATTGCTTCGCAAGATCAGGATATCAGCACTCCCAAGTTAAAACAAAACAAAACAACAATAAAAATGTTTTCTGCTACTACTTGTCAGCAGCTATCTTGTGGTAGAGTGCATCTGTACAAGGAGGTTCCATTGTCCGCTATTAGACACATCGCCTTGGCTGTATCGGTTTGCCCTGTAGAAGATTTCCACTTTTTGTATTCAGGCCTTTATCTCTTCTCAACAGAAAGCAGCCCAGAATAGTTAGGTTACAACTTGGCCACTTGAAGGGTGGACTTCAACTCCCAGA